CTCCTCCAACCCAACACCACAGAGTTCACCCTTTCCTTTCACTTCTCCTTATTGTGTAACTCCTTTCTCCTAAGAAAATTGACTCTCACTATCCATAATATATATCTATTTGCTCAGTCCCAGAATACACATAAACTCATTTCAGAATTGCTACCTCATACCTGGTGAAAAATAAATTTACTAACTACAATAGAGTATTTGTATAAAGTTGTCCCTCAGTATCCATAGAGGACTTGTTCCAGGAACTCCTTTGGCTACCAAAATCCATAGATGCTCAACTCTCTGATAGAAAAAGGCATAATATTTGCACCTAACCTAAGCACATCCTTCTGTATATTTTAAATCATCTTGAAATTATTTATAAAAGCTAATACAATGTAATGTTATGTAAATAGTCGTTAAGCTATAAGAGTTTAGGACAAGCATCTGGTCCATAGCTTATTAGGAACCGGGCCACACGGTGAAGCTTCATCTGTATTTACAGCCACTCCCCATTGCTCAAATTACAACCCGAGTTCCGCCTCCTGTCAGATCAGTGGTGGCATTAGATTCTCATAGGAGCACTAACCCTATTGTGAACTGCACATGCGAGGGATCTAGGTTGCGCACTTCTTATGGGAATCTAATGCCTGATGATCTGTCACTGTCCCCATTATCCCCAGACACTTCTGTCTGGTTGCAAAAACCAGGGGTCCTACTTGATTCTACATTATGGTAAGTTGTATAATGATTTCATTATGTATTACAATATAATAATAATAAAAATAGTACACAATAAATTTGAATCATCCCAAAACCATCCCCCCCATGCCCTGGTCCATGGAAAAACCGTGTTCCATGAAACCTCCCTGGAAGAAGATTGGGGACTGTTGGTTTAGGGAATAATGACAAGGAAAAAGCTCTGTACCTACTCAGTACACGCACAATTCTTTTGTCAAATATTTTTTATCTGAAGTTGGTTGAATCCACAGATGCTGAACCCATGGATAGGGATAGCTAACTGTACAGCACTTTATGTCTTTAGGCTTACAGTAAACAGCCAAAATACTGCTTCCAAAGTTACTTGGGTTAGTTCTTTCCTTTTCTGCTCCTTCCACTGTGGTTATAATTTATATTTATTCATATTCAGGTGGTTATTCATTTATAATACACTTAGGTTCATCTCTTACTCTTTGCAGTCCATTTTTGGTTAGCCCCACATTCTGGCTGATTGAATTTATTTTTTTATTTTTTGAGAGGGAGTCACACTGTGTCCCCAGGCGGGAATGCATTGGCATGATATTGGCTCACTGAAACCTCCACCTCCCAGGTTCAAGCAATTCTCCTGTCTTAGCCTCCTGAGTAGCTGAAATTACAGACAGGCACCACCATGCCCAGCTAATTTTTTGTATTTTTAGTAGAGATGGGGTTTCACCATGTTGGCCAGGCTGGTCTCAAACTCCTGACCTCAGGTGATCTGTCTGCCTCAGCCTCCCAAAGTGCTGGTATTACAGGTGTGAGCCACCATGACTGGCCTGGTTGATTTTAATTATTTATTTTTTGGATAGATGAAATATTAATATGGTCCTGAAAGAGCTATTCAAAAACATATTCATTACAGTGTCACTCCTACATCATTCCTTCCACCACATTCCCAAGTACCTCTCTGCACCCCATCCCATATAACCAAGCTCATTAGTTTCCAGTTTATATGTAAATAACATACATGTATGTTCCCTCATTTCCCTTTCTTTCTTTTGTAAAAAACATGATAGTATTGATATTAATTTATACTTTCCTTTCTAAATTAACTTAATTTAATTCACTTTAATTCTGAAAACCACTCCAAAGTGATTTAAAGAAACCTGCCTCATTTGTTTCTTCTTTGTTTGGTTTTTAGAGACAGGGTCTTGTTCTGCCGCCCAGGCTGGAGTTCAGTGGCATGATCACAGCTCACTGCTGCCTCAACCTCCCAAGTTCAATCCATCCTCGAGCCCCATGATCTAGAGTAGCTAAGATTATAGGCACACACCACCACACCTGGGTAAGTTTTGAATTTTTTTTTTTTTTTTCTGAGATGAAGTTTTGCTCCTGTTACCCAGGCTGGAATGCAGTGGCACAATCTCGGCTCACCACAACCTCTGCCTCCTGAGTTCAAGTGGTTCCCCTGCCTCAGCCTCTCAAGTAGCTAGGATTACAGGCATGCACCACCACGCCCAGCTAATTTTTTGTATTTTTAGTAGAGATGGGGTTTCTCCATGTTGGTCAGGCTGGTCTTGAACTCCCGACCTCAGGTGATCCACCCATCTTGGCCTCCCAAAGTGCTGGGATTACAGGTGTCAGCCACCGCACCTAGCCTTTTAAATTTTTTTTTGAAACAGTCTCACTCTGCCACCTACACTGGAGTACAGTGGCGAGATCTCGGCTCACTGCAACCACTGCCTCCTGGGTTCAAGAGATTCTCCTGCCTCAACCTCCTGAGTAGCTGGGATCGATTACAGGTGCCGGCCATCGCACCTGGTTAATTTTGTATTTTTAATAGAGATGAGGTTTCACCATGTTGGTCAGGCTGGTCTTGAGCTCCTGACTTCTTGATCCACCCACCTCAGCCTCCCAAAGTGCTGGGATCACAGGCATGAGCCACCACACCTGGCCAATTTTTGGATTTTTTTGTAGAGACAGCATCTCACTTTGTTGCCCAGGCTAGAAGTTCTGGCCTCACCATCCTTCCATCTTGGCCTCCCAAATTCTGGGATTACAGTGTAATCCACTGCCTGTAAACCAATGCCTTAGTGTTTTCTTGACTGCTCTTGTGTATTCATTTTGTCATGTGAACTTTAGCGTCAGTTTGATTAACTTACTAAAAAAGCTTCTTGAAATTTTTACTGGGATTGTATTAAACTTATAAATTAATTTAGAGAGAATCTCTAAATTAACTGACATATTTATGATGTTGAATCATCCTATTCAAGAACACTGTAGTAGTCTGTGTTCACACTGCTCATAAAGACATAGCCGAAACTGGGAAGAAAAAGAGATTTTAAGCCGAGTGGGGTGGCTCATGCCTATAATCCTTGCACTTTGGGAGGCTGAGGCTGGCAGATCACTTGAGGTCAGGAGTTCAAGACCAGCCTGCCCAACACGGTGAAACCCCATCTGTACTAAAAATACAAAAATTAGCTGGTCATGGTGGCATGCACCTGTAATACTATCTCCTCGGGAGGCTGAGGCAGGACAATCACTTGAACCCAGGAGGCGGAGATTGCACTGTACTGCAGCCTGGGCAACAGAGTGAGATTCCATCTCAAAAAAAAAAGAAGAAGAAGTTTTAATGGCATTATAGTTCCATGTGGCTGAGGAAGCCTCACAATCATGGCAGAAGGCAAGGGGGAGCAAGTTACGTCTTACACAGATGGCAGCAGGCAAAAAGAGAGACAGAGCTTGTCCAGGGAAACTCCACCTCATAAGCCATCAGATCTCTTGAGACTTATTCACTATCATGAGAACAGCATGGGAAAGACCTGCCCCCATGATTCAATTACCTCCCACTGGGTCCCTCCTACAACACGTGGGAATCAAGATGAGATTTGGGTGGGGACACAGCTAAACCGCATCATTTTGGGTCCCAAATCTCATGGATAGTCATTAATAATATTAGTCTGTAGTTTTCTTTTTACACCATCTCTATAATGTCTAGATGTAAATATTACACTTCATAAAAACTTTTCAGAAATTTTCCTTCATTTAATTTTTTAATATTAATTTTTCTAGATATACAGTAGGTGTATATATTTACGGGTTCTGAATTTATACAACATTGTGTCTATCTGCCATTTGAAGGTTTAGTAGAATTCCCCATGAGATAATCTAGGCCTGTACTTTTTGAGGAATAATTCCTTAATAGGGTTCTCTACTTCTTCTATAGAAAGTGGTTTTTTCAAACTTCCATTTTTTATCAATTTTGGTAATCTAGTGTTTACCCAGGAAATCACCCATTTCATCAAATTTTTTAAATGTATTTGCAGAGAGGACTGCAAAGTCTGTTGTAATTATTTTTTCTGTTTCAGGGGCTATTTTTCTATTGTCATTTCTTATTTTGTGTATTTGTATTTTCTCCCCTTTTCTTCTTCTTTATGTTAGCTAGTGGTTTGTCTATTTTGGTAATTTTTTCAAAACACCTTAAAAGCAAAATGGTTTGAAGAATTACTGTTATTCCACAAGAGGGTGACTACAGTCAACAATAATATTATATATTTTTAAATAACTAAAAGCATAATTATGTTCTTTGTAACAAAAAGAAAGGATAAATGTTTGTGGTAATCGATACCCCATTTACCCTGATATGATTATAATACATCATAAGCCAATGTTACAATATCTCATGTACCCCATAAATATATACACCTATTGGCTAAGCACAGTGGCTCACTCATGCCTATAATCCCAGCACTTTGGGAGGTCAAGGTGGGTTGATCACCTGAATTCAGGAGTTCAGCACCAACCTGGCCAACATGGTGAAACCCCATTTCTACTAAAAATACAAAAAAATTAACCAGGCTTCGTGGCAGGCACCTGTAATCCCAGCTACTCAGGAGGCTGAGGCAGGAGAATCGCTTGAACCCAAAAGGCGGGGGTTGTAGTGAGCCGAGATCATGCCATTGCACTCCAGCCTGGGCAACAAGAGTGAAACTCCGTCTTAAAAAAAAAAAAAAAAAATCCTGGCCGGGCGCGGTGGCTCAAGCCTGTAATCCCAGCACTTTGGGAGGCCGAGGTGGGTGGATCACGAGGTCAAGAGATCGAGACCATCCTGGTCAACATGGTGAAACCCCGTCTCTACTAAAAATACAAAAAATCAGCTGGGCATGGTGGCGCATGCCTGTAGTCCCAGCTACTCAGGAGGCTGAGGCAGGAGAATTGCCTGAACCCAAGAGGCAGAGGTTGCGGTGAGCCGAGATCGCGCCATTGCACTCCAGCCTGGGTAACATGAGTGAAACTCCGTCTCAAAAAAAAAAAAAAAAAAAATCCAAAGTATTGAGTTCAGTACAGGGCAGCTTCCCTGTTCTGTTAATTAAACTTTAGGACATTAAAATGGGCTAAGGGAGATGACTGGGTAGAAAGTATTATTTGCTTCCCAGCCTACAAAAAAAGAAAAAAGAAAAAAAATACACACACACACACACACACATACATATATATACACACCTACTTTGTACCCACAAAAATTAAAAAATAAAAAGAAGAAATATTGCTATTCAGTCTCTCTCTAAAACTAATACATAGAACCAAACATAATACTCTAGGTATAAAAACAGAGACTCAGCTTCTTCATTCAAGATACTTCAAATTCTTTTTTTTTTTTTTTTTGAGACAGAGTTTCGTTCTTTTTGCCCAGTCTGGAGTGCAATGGCATAATCTCGGCTCACCGCAACCTCTGCCTCCTGGGTTCAAGCAATGCTCCTGCCTCAGCCTCCCAAGTAGCTGGGATTACAGGCATGCACCACTATGCCCGGCTAATTTTGTATTTTTAGTAGAGATGGGGTTTCTCCATGTTGGTCAGGCTGGTCTCGAACTCCTGACCTCAGGTGATCTGCCCGCCTCAGCCTCCCAAAGTGCTGGGATTACAGGCATGAGCCACTGTGCCCAGCCTGCGATGTTTCATATTCTTTTTTTTTTTTTTTGTCACATTGTTGACTCACACTAAACTGTCAACCAAAACCCATAAATAATTTTTAACACATTTTGCTGTCAAACCATATACCTTCCATCTTTGAGCTTGTAAAATTGGTTTTCTTGATCTACATTTGCCTTTAATAAATTTCACCTTATTAGATTCTGTCTCAAGAGATCCTGTCATTCCATGCATTCATTTATTCAAATCAACATATTCTTGAGTCCCTACTATCTGCCAGGCATTGTGCCAAGGTCAGCACTTACAGGCACATAAATAAGGGATACAAACTAATTGCTGCTACAAGGGAGAATTTTGTTTTTTAAAGCTGTTTATGCAGGCCGGGCGCAGTGGCTCAAGCCTGTAATCCCAGCACTTTGGGAGGCAGAGACGGGTGGATCACGAGGTCAAGAGATCGAGACCATCCTGGTCAACATGGTGAAACCCCATCTCTACTGAAAATACAAAACATTAGCTGGGCATGGTGGTGCATGCCTGTAATCCCAGCTACTCAGGAGGCTGAGGCAGAATTGCCTGAACCCAGGAGGCAGAGGTCGCGGTGAGCCGAGATCGTGCCATTGCACTCCAGCCTGGGTAACATGAGTGAAACTCCGTCTCACAAAAAAAAAAAAAAAAAAAAAAAAAAAAGCTGTTTATGCAGAGAAGGAGCCACAGGATGCAAGGCTGGGGGAATCAGGAAAAGGTCAAGAGGGAAGGAGACTTTTCGCTGTTTTTTTAAGGATGTCTGCCAGTTGCAGAAGGGGACATGGGCAGGGGTGATGGAAGGAGGAAGGGTTGGAAGACATATAGTATCTCAGAGGAACAGCCAGGTAAGGAGGTAGCGTGTGGGAGGAGCTGTCAGTGGCAGGTGGTGATGTTGAGAAACAGGTCAGCCCCGACCACCAGCACTTAGACTAAGGCTTAATGACCTTCAACAGGAAAGTGTGAAGTTGTGAAACAGGAGAGTGAAACTGTATGACCGGCATCCCGGAATAAAAAGAACAGCATGCAGATCGAAGAAGACAACGAGGAGCCCAGGCAATAATTCAAGCAAAGAAGATAAGCACCTAAAGTGAAGCAGCACCAGTGAGCAAAGGACAAACTCCAGAAACAAGTCAGAGATGACTGACAGGATGTAGGCAGCGACGAAAGGAGAGGAGCCAGAAAGTCAGGCCTGAATGACCGGCTGGCTGGTGATGCTTTAACTGGGATGGAGAGGTCATGAAGAGCAAGCACTGGGGACAAGTCAACAGCTTGGTTTTGAGAGTCTGAGCTATTTGTAGAACACCAGCGTATACATGTTCCACAGCCATTTGGCAAAACACAGGTCTAGAGCACAAGAGCTGGGAGCAGCGTGGGAGATCCATGTTTGAGAGTATCTAGGTATAAGTTGCCAACGAGATAACTACCATCTACCGAGCACTTCCTACATGCCAGGTATTGTGCTAAGCACTATGCTACATCCTTTATACATATGTTTTCACTTCATATTTACCCCGGGAGGAAGTATTTTTCCTATTTTACAGACATGGAAATCAAGGTTCAGAACAATATGCCCACAGTCACAGGGCTGCTCAGTGACAGAAGAAGGGTTTGAATTCATGGCTGATGCTACATCCTAGGCTCTACAGCATCCCAAAAAGTAAGGTGAGCTCTAAGAGTTTTTGGCAGAAAAGGAAGTGGCGATTGATGATAATGCATCAAGGTTTCAGAGGAGAGGAAGAGGGCTGCATTCTCTCTGATCAGGAGTGTGGGGAAGTGTGGAGGTGGGAAGAGGGAAGCTGAAGGAGTTCAAATGTAGCTACCCCACGAGTCATTCATTCCTATGAAGTAGGCCAGTTTATCTGCTGAGGGTGAAGGGAAGAGGAATAATGAAGGAGGCTTCAGGAAAGGGTCAGAGACTGGCAGCAGCCCCTGTGAGATGCTGGAAAGAACACTGACTGCTAAAGCTTCCTGGCAGCACCAAGCACTCAGCTAAGACGTGATGTCATCATTTCATAATTGACGTGCTGTAACATGCACAACAGGCCTGGGCCATGAGCAGGGGAAACCAAGAATTGGCTAAACTACAACTGAAAATAATCAGAGGAGAAGCAGTGACCACCAGGGCAAAGGAAGTGAGCATGGTGTTGAAGTGACTGACTTACAATAAAGTTTGGGTCAGGGAGAAGAAATTAAGAGAAGGTGAATAAGCCTTAAGAAGGTAGAGGACAGAAGGAAAGGACAACTCGATGGAATGAAAAAATAAGGTAATGGAATGGAAGACTGTGAAAGCTGGGGTTTTGAGCAGAGTAGAGTTTCAGAGCACAACATTTCAAGGGTGGGGAAATTCTGTGGAGTAAGTTGCAAGTGTGGTCTCGGTATGTGGCCTTGTTGAAGTGGCATGGAGGGGGACAGTCATTACAGTGGGGACAGTCCAGGAACTGGGAGGCTAGACTATGGATCCTGAAGTCCTCTCTAGAGAATGGTAGAGACTAAGCTGCTGACGCTATTTAGTGTTCTGTCCAGATTCACATAAGTTTATTCTTTTTACTTTTGTTTAATTTTTATTTTTTGTAGAGATGGAGTCTTGCTATGTTGCCTCGACCCCTTGGCCTCAAGCCATCCCCCTGCCTTGGCCTCCTAAAACACTGGGATTATAGGTGTGAGCTACCACACCCAGCTTTCACATACCTCTAAAAACTAGTATGTCTTCTATTAAATCATTAATGAAATTTTTTTTTTTTTTTTTGAGACGGAGTTTCGCTCTGTTACCCAGGCTGGAGTGCAATGGCGCGATCTCGGCTCACCGCAACCTCCGCCTCCTGGGTTCAAGCAGTTCTCCTGCCTCAGCCTCCTGAGTAGCTGGGACTACAGGCATGCGCCACCATGCCCAGCTAATTTTTGTATTTTTAGTAGAGACAGGGTTTCACCATGTTGACCAGGATGGTCTCGATCTCTTGACCTCATGATCCACCCGTCTTGGCCTCCCAAAGTGCTGGGATTACCGGCATGCGCCACCATGCCCAGCTAATTTTTGTATTTTTAGTAGAGACAGGGTTTCACCATGTTGACCAGGATGGTCTCGATCTCTTGACCTCATGATCCACCCGTCTCGGCCTCCCAAAGTGCTGGGATTATAGGCGTGAGCCACTGCACCGGGCCATTAATGAAAAAATTTTAATTGAAGATAGGCCTTTGGCATGTCATCGCTGTCTGCATGCTGACATGAATCTGTTAAATGGCATCTAGCAGCAATGAGAGCTTCACAAGTGAGCAGGGCTAGTGTTATCCACAGATAAAGGGTTACACTACCCTTCTTTAGGTTGCTGCCTTTTCCTTTATTTCTAATTTAGGGAGTCAAGCACTAAACTAAGTGTCTGTCTCCCTTTGACCTGAAAATATCTGTACTTTTCATCCAGATATTTTGGGGGCAGGCAAGACCATGTTCTTGCTATAAATGCCCACTGCCAACTCTGAAGACTTAAGGACAAAGTAGATAATTGTGAAGGCCAGCCATGCCATCCACTTCTCCCACAAAGCAGTTTGTCTTCAAAGAGGCCTATGGGGCAAGCCTGGGCCCTGAGTGGCTCTGCTGCTTGGTTTGAACAACATATTAGGGCTTCTCTTTCTATAGCAGGTGAAATACCATATGCATTTTACAGGAGGCTGTTACTCTGTGAAAGCTGAACTAATGATTTCATTTCTTCTTCCCTTTTTTCTGGCTCATTATTTTTTAAAATTATAACTTATATAAAAGGCAGGTATGTAAAATAGGGAAAAGCAGAGCTTCTGTGATTAGGCCAGGGTTGGGAGTCCAAAGCCCAGCTCACTTTCCCTGTGTTTCTCCACCCTCAAACCCCCACCCCTACTCTCCAGCCATCTAAAGTAACTTAAGGGCTTGGCAAAGCAGCTGAAAACAAGAACCAAAACAGATATAAACACCAAAAAAAAAAAAAAAATGCATTTTGTTTCCTTCTAACACTATCATTTTACACAAGTCTATTATTCAGTGACAAAAAGATACAGCAGTCTCAGCAAAATGAAAATATCTGGAATATTGAGAAAAAGATCTTGCTGATTCTGGGGACAGTGTCCATAGGCACTCAGAATGGTCCAGCATTTGACATACCATTGTAGGCTTTTCTACAATCCAGCCTCTAACAAAATTAGGCCATCCCAAATCCCTGTTCATAGAACTGTTTACCTTCATACCAAGAAGGTTGGGAAAGCACCAAAATCTGCATGTGGCATGTGCCCAGTCAGTCTTCAATGAGTTCCCATTGTGACACCTAAAGTTCTTAAGAGGTTCTCCAAAACAAACAAAGAAAAAAACATGTTGGGCTGGGCGCGGTGGCTCAAGCCTGTAATCCCAGCACTTTGGGAGGCCGAGGCGGGTGGATCACGAGGTCAAGAGATCGAGACCATCCTGGTCAACATGGTGAAACCCCGTCTCTACTAAAAATACAAAAAATTAGCTGGGCATGGTGGTGCGTG